AACAGTCTCTATCCTCACTATTTGGCTATCCATTCCTCCTTCACAGTAAGAACAACCCACTATTCTACAATCATGACCCCCCTGAGATGGTCTTAATTGCCTGGGAAGCTTCCCTAGTAGAAGAGCAGCAGAAAGAGGAGGAGGAGGAGACATGCCATCAATTATCCCTTGAAGACAAGTGCCAGCGCAACAGGAGGATACTGCAATTGTACACATGGGTTCTAATGAATCCTCATTCACTTATTTGTTTGGTAGTGGTGATGATCAGGCTCTTCTAAACTGTTGTGGTGTAGACCATGCTGTCTTCAGGGATCTCATCAGCCTCTTTGAGCCAGTTTTTGATAGATATACAGTTGACAAAAACACCATGGAGATCAGACCATGGCTATTCACTAACAAAAGCACACCAAAGGGCAATACAAGGGTGCTTACTGCTACAGTTGGACTTGGATTAGTCTTGACTTGGTTCAGAACTTGTGGATTAGCAGCTAGAACCTTGTCTATGGTTTTTGGGCTTACCTCAACACCCCTCTATAAATGGTTGAATTACTCCCATAGAGTTCTTCTCTATGTATTGCAAAATCACCCAAATGCAATTATTAGATCTCCCTGTGATGAAGAAGGGGAGGCTTATGCAGCAGGCATTGGAAGGAAGTACTATCCTCCTGCACTTGGAAGAAAGAAGGTATGGGGTGCAGCAGATGGACTCAAAGTAAAAATTCAGCATTCTACCAACTGGGCCATTCAAAGCATTTACTAAAACTTGTGGGCCATTGACACATACATCAATAGTGTCCTTCTCTTTGCACCAGATGGGAGAATCCAGATGACCACATTTATCTCTCCAGGGAGTTGGCATGACAGCACTATGGTAGATTATGGCATATATGAGAAGACAGAGGAGAGGGGGAGAATTGTTGTAGATCCCTTGTTTAGGGTGAAAGGCGTTGATTATCTCATCTGTAGCCAGCAAAATGATCTTGATACATTCCATACAATGGAAGAGAACACCCAGGCTATAGTAATCAATAGGGAAGTGTCGGCTGTCCCCAAGCTATCTGAATGGGGCATGCAAATGATTCAAGGGCAATTCCCACAAATGAAGGAGAGAGGGTTACCTTGGAAGAGCTCAGAGATAAGAAGATCATTCTTAATCTCTTGTTGTTGTTGTTATTGTTGTATAATTATCAAAGGAACACAGTGGGCATTACTCAGATTCTCAACACCTTCATGAGTGATACCAATGGCTTTGAATCCTATGAAGAGATGAGGGAATCATACACAAAACACCAAGTAGAATATTTCTCCTATGGGAGGGGTCCTGATGGAGTTGCTAATATAGAATTCCAATTCTTAGATTGATGATTGTCAATTGTGTTGATTGTTGATTGTTGATTTCTGATTGCTGATTGCTGATTGTTGATTGTTGGTTGTTGATTGTTGGTTG